ATTCTGGATGAGCTGCAGAGGTCGGATGGCACATGCAGGTAGACCAGCCAGGAGGGAGTTGCAGTAGTCTAGGCGTGAGATGACGAGAGCCTGGACCAGAACCTGAGTGGCTTTCTGGGTCAGCTGGGGACGTATCTTCCTGATGTTGTAAAGCGTGTATCTGCAGCAACGGGTTGTAGCAGCGATGTTTGCAGTGAAGGACAGGTTGTTATCTAGGGTCACACCCAGATTCCTTGCAGTCTGAGTCGGGGAAACAACTGAGGTGCCGATGTTGATTGTCAGGTCAAGAGTTGGACAATCATCCTGGACCTTCACTTTGATCATAAGCCTAAGGAATTTAGATTCTGGCGTCTTGACCCTCTTTTACTTTCTGATGCAGCCTTTTGTGAGTGTATTTCAGAATCAATTGCATTCTTCTGTGAGACCAACCAAAATGAAGAGACCTCTGCGTCCCTACTCTGGGAAACCCTTAAAGCTTTTCTTAGGGGTAAGATCATCTCGCATACGTCTCATGTTAATAAACTTCGTAGAGCACGCCAAAGAGAACTGGAAGAATCTATCATTAATCTAGACAACCAACTATTTTCCACTCAATCACCTGATCTATCTAAAGAACGGATGGGGCTCCAAACAGAACTTGACCTTCTCCTAACAAGAGAGGCTGAACGACTCCTTCTACACTCACGAGGGTCTATATATGAACATGGCGATAAAGCTGGCCATCTCCTGGCCCACCAACTAAAGGCTAGGGTGGCCTCGAACCAAATCACCCAGATACGGGACGGGTTGGGCTCTCTCACTTCTGACCCGGGAGAGATTAATAACATCTTTAAAACCTACTACTCTCGTCTCTACACGTCTGAATCCCCTGATAACGAAGATCAGCTACATACATTTTTGGATAAATTGGATATGCCCAAGATTTCGACTAACGACCAACAGACACTAGATGCCAACCTGCAGCTTGCTGAGATTAAAGAGGCAATACAGTCCATGAATAGTGGCAAATCACCGGGACCTGACGGATACCCCGTAGAATTCTACAAAAAATTCTCAAATCAACTTTCCCCATTATTATTAGATATGTTTAATTCGTCGTACGTCCAAGGCTCACTGCCGCCTACCCTTATGCAAGCCTCTATCTCTCTGATCTTTAAGAAGGGTAAGGACCCGTTGAGCTGTGCATCATATCGCCCAATCTCGCTCCTGTCTGTAGATGTGAAAATACTTGCGAAGATTTTTGCTCGCCGGTTGGAATCTATTATACCCTCCATCATTTCGGAAGATCAGACAGGATTCATAGGGGGGAGGCACTCCTTCACAAATGTCCGAAGACTTCTCAGCGTCATCCACAGCCCGCCTTCTCCTGCTGAACCGGAGGTTGTCATATCTCTTGATGCTGAGAAGGCCTTCGACAGGGTTGAGTGGGCCTATCTGTTTTCTGTCCTTCAACAGCTGGGCTTTGGTCCAGGCCTCGTCTCCTGGGTTAGACTTCTGTACTCTTCTCCTCACTCCTCTGTATGTACGAATACCCAGCGCTCCAAATTCTTTCCTCTTTTTCGCGGGACGCGTCAGGGGTGTCCGCTCTCCCCACTACTATTTGCAATTGCTATCGAGCCATTGTCGATTGCTCTAAAAGCAGAGAGAGGAATTAAGGGGATTCAGAGAGGGGATATCGAACACAGGGTCTCGTTATATGCTGACGACCTCCTTCTGTATGTGCGCGATCCTATAGCTAGTACTCCACACATTCTCTCACTTTTGACCACTTTTGGTTCATTTTCAGGATACAAATTAAACATCCAAAAGAGTGAATGTTTCCCTATCAACCAATTGGCTACAGAATTACCTCCGTTGTCGTTGCCTTTTAGAATATCCAACTCAGGGTTTAAATATCTGGGCATTGCAATCACGCAGTCTTTTAGTGCGCTACGGGAACAAAATCTTACTGTCCTGATGGCAACAGTCAAATCTGACCTGCAGAGGTGGGGCCATCTGGCACTCTCTTTAGCAGGAAGAGTTCAGACAATACAAATGAATGTACTGCCCAGATATCTATACATGTTCCAATGCCTACCTATTTTTTTTGCCTAAATCTTTTTTCACTGCTATTGATAATATTATTTCCTCATTTATTTGGGCTGGTAAACATGCAAGAGCTAGTAGACCATTACTGCAGAGGGACAGGTTCCTGGGTGGGCTTGGTTTACCTAACCTTATGGGTTACTACTGGGCCACAAACACACACAAGATCATGCTCTGGTTCACTTCACCCCAGAGTGACTGGTGTCTTGTGGAGGCCAACTCATGTCGATCCACGTCACTTCAAGCCCTCGCGTGTAGCACTCTGCCCCTTTCCCCCTCACAATTCACATCTAACCCCGTTGTAATTGGCACTTTAAAGATCTGGGCACAAGTTAGACGTCACTTTGGTTGGCTTACTCTTCCTCAAGCAACTCCTGTCTGTAACAACCATCTATTTTTACCAGCCACAATTGACCCCCGATTTTCTCACTTGAAGAGGGAAGGCCTCCGCTGCATAGGGGAGTTATACATTGATAGCCTGTTTGCCAGTTTTGACCAACTACGGGTTGCCTTTAATCTAAGAGGATCTGATTTCTTTAGATACTTTCAACTAAGGGATTTTGCTAAGACCCACTCTCCACAATTCCCTCAATCCCTGCCTCCCAGTGGAGTGGATCTTGTACTTAGAGCAAGAACTTTGTCTAGGCGCCATGTCTCTTACTTTTATGATCTTTTTTCTCCGGTTGATGAATCTGCCATTAACAAGATTAGAACTAATTGGGAAAAGGAACTACAGTTCACCTTCTCTGATGACTTTTGGAAGAAGGCCCTGAGAGCCGTTAACTCATCCTCCAGTTGCGCTAGACTCAGCCTAATACAGTTTAAAGTTCTCCATAGACTACATTATAGCAAGGCTAAGCTCTCCAGGATTTATCCAGATAGATTGGACGACCGGTGTGATAGATGCTCCCAGGCCCCCTGCGACCTGACTCACATGTTCTGGTCGTGCCCTAAATTATCTAGCTTCTGGCAATCTTTCTTCGAATGTATTTCTGAAATTGTAGGTCTAAAAATCTCTCCATCCCCTCATGTAGCTATTTTCGGTAGGCCCCCAGATGGAATCAACTTTACAAACACTCAAACCAATGTCATGGCCTTTACCTCCTTGATTGCTCGTAGGAAAATCCTTCTTTTGTGGAAATCTCCTTTACCTCCCTCTTTTCAAATGTGGCTGAGTGATACTATGTCTCTTCTAAAGTTGGAAAAAATTAAGTTTACTCTCCGGGGTTCCTCAGATAAGTTTTACGCTCATTGGAGGCCACTGATCAGCTATGTAGACCGTCTTCCCCCTGATATGGTGTCGCTGTAGGGATTCTCCCTTTATTTATCCGTCTATAATTCTGATATGATTACTCCCCTGTCCACCACATAGGCAGCCCATGTGACATCCCTGGATATGTGTTAGTATGTATGTATGTATATGTATATTATTGTATCTATCATTTTGTATTGTATTGATGTACTGTTGCCTCAGTGCTCCGGGAGAGGGGTGGTTGGGATGGGGCGGGGTTAAGGGAAAGTGAGTAAGGGTTCTTTTGGGAGGGAAAAAATGAAAATGCCTTAATTGCTGTAATACAATTCACTGTTACACTTTCTTTTCTTTTTTTACATGTGAATAAAAATATTAAAAAAAAATAAAAAAAAGAGTTGGACAATCTTTTCCCGGGAGGAAGAGCAGCTCAGTCTTGTCAAGATTGAGCTTGAGGTGATGAGCAGACATCCACTGAGAGATGTCAGCTAGACAAGCAGAGATGCGTGCGACGACCTGGGTCTCTGAGCGGGGAAAGGACAGAATTAATTGGGTGTCGTCAGCGTAGCAGTGGTAAGAAAAACCATGCGGGCTAATGACTGATCCGAGCGAGTTTGTGTACAGGGAGAAGAGGAGGGGACCAAGAACAGAGCCCTGAGGGACCCCCGTAGTTAATTGACAAGGGTCGGACTCAGACCCTCTCCAAGTCACCCTGTAGGTGCGGTCTTTCAGGTATGAGGTGAGGAGGGAAAGTGCAGAGCCTGAAACTCCAAGTTCTTGGAGAGTGCGAAGGAGGATCTGATGATTCACCGTGTTGAATGCAGCAGACAGGTCCAACAGGATGATGACAGAGGAGAGGGATGCTGCTTTGGCAGTCATCATTAATGGCAGTCATCATTAATGGACGTCTCTTTAAAATGACCGCTCAGAGGAGAGGAGTTCTCATTTCTCTAACCGCCTGCTGCTTCCCCTCCTCTCTCCTCGGTTCCCCTCCTCTCTCCTCGGTTCCCCTCCTCTCTCCTCAGTTCCCTCCTCTCTCCTCGGTTCCCCTCCTCTCTCCTCGGTTCCCCTCCTCTCTCCTCGGTTCCACTCCTCTCTCCTCGGTTCCCCTCCTCTCTCCTCGGTTCCCCTCCTCTCTCCTCGGTTCCCCTCCTCTCTCCTCGGCTCCCCTCCTCTCTCCTCGGTTCCCCTCCTCTCTCCTCGGTTCCCTCCTCTCTCCTCGGTTCCCCTCCTCTCTCCTCGGTTCCCCTCCTCTCTCCTCGGTTCCCCTCCTCTCTCCTCGGATCCCCTCCTCTCTCCTCGGTTCCACTCCTCTCTCCTCGGTTCCCCTCCTCCGCTCCTCCGCTCGCATCTCCTTTGGGCGGGACTAAGTCTCGAGAATAGGAGTCGAGGAGGGGAGTTAGAGAAATGAGAAAGGGCCACTGTGTGCAGTGTGTGTGGTGAAAACAGTCAACATATACAGTTCAACCCGCTTTAGCAAAGAGTCCAGCTGGTAACAACCCCAACATGAGTTCAGTCCTGTTCACAGGCCCACGAACAAAGACTCCGCTCCGGGTTTTCCCACGGATCCTCCCGAACCCAAAATACAGCTCTTTTACAGAAAAGGCAAACTGCGGCAGAACGACCCCTCAGATCGAGAGCTGCCACCAAGACATTTAAACATATTCTTTCTCCTCGACAGTGCTACAGGGCCATCAATACAACATTATAAGAACGAAGCTGCGGGCCGGATCACATCTGACGGCGGGCCAGGCAAAGGCCTTCCTTGGGAAATGCTTCGTGCTTTTGTTTTGAAGTCCTAAAACCGGAAGTGGTCCCCTCTCGGAACCATTTTGCGTCTCGTCGTCGCTTTGTGTTCCTGAGAAAGCGTGTGAGCTCCAGCTGATCCATGGTGTGTGTGAGCTCTGATCATCGTGTGTGTGTGTGCGTGTGTGAGCTCTGATCCTCGTGTGTGTGTGTGCGTGTGTGTGCTCTGATCATCGTGTGTGTGTGAATGGTGTGTGGATGAACCTCTTTCTTCTGTTTACCTCGGACTGTAGAAGCTAGCTTAGCATGCTCGCTGGTAACACGTTAGACTGAGAGACACCGGAAGTGGTGATTTAGTAAACAAGAGTGAGCTGTCTCGTTCTCACTCTTCTCTCCTATGTATATACAGTATAAGCTTATATTCAAAGACCTCTCTCTCTGTGTCACAGGAGCGCCCCCTGCTGTCCGTGGTGCTCCAGCCTCAGCTCCAGGTCCACAGAGCAGGTCTGTCCCCTCTCTCTCTCTCTCTGCCCTCTGCTGCTGCTGTTCACTTCCTACACTTTGGATTCATCACATTCTTCTTATAGGTCTCTGTGATACAGAAACCCCCAGCCCCATTTCCTCGCTAGTAAACGCCTTTTAAAGTCTATCTGATTTCTGTCTCACGGAGAGATTTCGCAGAGCCTTCCTTCCTGCAGCGGTCAGACTGCACAGCCCCTAGGAGACCCCCCCCCCCCCCCCCCCCACACACACACACACACACACACACACACACACACACACACACACACACACACACACACACACAACCAGCCCAGCCCCTAGGAGACCCCCCCCCCCCCCCACACACACACACACACACACACACACACACACACACACACACACACACACACACACACACACACACACACACACACAACCAGCCCAGCCCCTAGTAGACCCACACACACACACACATACACACACACACACACACACACACACAATACAACCAGCACAGCCCCTAGGAGACCCCCCCCACACACACACACACACACACACACACACACACACACACACCACACACACACGTTGTGTGTGTTTTGAGCTGTACTGTACTGTACCCAATATACAAGCTGTTAATAAACTTTTCAATCAATCAAAACACACACACACTAAACAACCAGCACGGCCCCTAGGAGTGGGAAGTGAAAACCAGTACTTTCTGTTTCAAACGTTCACAGAGCATCTTGAGGTTATAAAAACATTAAACAATCAAAATCCAGATTTTGATTTTCAAAGATTTATTTTTCCCCCAAAATGCAAATAATGCATTGCATCAATATAAAAGTTATTTTTCATATTGAAACTGTGCAAAAACACATAACAGTAAGTAAGTTGATCTCCGTATGAAAACCTCTGAACTTGGTCACGACTAATCTTAGATAATGGGCACTGGGCCAAGAATACATCAGTCATCGCTCCCAACATGTATTTAACGGGTCTAAAGCTACACATTCATGACAACAATTACACATTACATGGGAGCAAAATGTCATCAACAACAAGAACAACAAATCACATTAGACCTCATTCCTAAATCACACTCCTCATCTTTGCCATGTTACATTCATAAAGTTGATTAGTGCTGTTCCATTGTCTTGTGCATACTATAAATCCATTGCATTGATATAACTATATTTCTGTGTAAAAACATTCAACAACTTATCGTTCATTAAGAGTGGAATGGCCACTCTCAAAAGGCTGGCACAAAGGCAGCTACTCTTCATGACTGTCACAGTCAACCTCCTTCCTCTGTGACAGAGAGGCATCATCATAGAAGGCACGTTGTCACAGAGCACGTTCAGGACTTTGAGGAAATAGCAAAAATGTGCTTAATATGCATGAAAAAACGTAGGCCACGGCCACATTCGTAATTTGTTGCGACACTTTACCTATAAGTTCATACTCACCTCCAGAGTATGTCTAAAAAAAAATTAATTTTGTCCATCCTTTCTTGAGTTATACATTTGTCTTGTTTTTGGTGCCCCCTATAGTCCAAAATGAAAATACCTTTGTGTGCCTATTCCCCAACACAGACTGAACCTATCCACCATAATGTGTGTTATTTGGATACATTGTTGATGAGTTATGAGCATTTCTTTCTAAGCCCCGCCTGTTTGCGAACACGTTTAGAATAATGACGGCCATATTTATCGACTGAACATGGCCATGTCCTACGGTAATGTGTTCGACCCTCCAGCGATGCTGAATACGAAGTTTGGAGTTGAAACACTACAATTTGAAATTTAAGTTAATATGTCACGGTTTTTAACATTATGCTAATACAAAATAAATCAAGTAGGCGACGCCTCGGGGTTCAAGGACATAATATGTAGAGCCACCCGAGTAAGTGTGCAACATTTCAGGTCATTCAGAGTTACGGTGCGACTTTGTAAATGTTTCCAAAAATGGAAATGGCCATAGGTGGCGCTAGAGAGCTCGTTGGACCATTTGAACACATTGACTCCAGAATATTGAATTTTTCACCGATCCTGGAATCCGTGCAAAATTATACAACTTTTGAAGCTTCCTAAAGCCTTCAGAAACAGGATACCGAAATGGAATAATAAGAATAATACCACCTATAACAATAGGTTCCTCGCACTTCGTGCTAGGACTCCGTTGGATCCTAGCGCTCCGTGCTCGGGCCCTAATTAAAACTGCGGTCACAGAAGTGCGTGTAGTGATGAGCGGGCCCTCGTCGTCCCGCGCGCGAGTCCTGGGAAATGAGCCGTTTGTTATTTCTCTCATTTTCGCGTCCCAGACTCCCAGGTCCTCCGGCAGCGACCCGGAAACGGATTTAGGCGCGCCGTCTCGAAGGAAAACAAATTTCTCTAAAGGCTCGTCGAGGATCGATTATCGAGGAGTGTCTCTGGAGGAGCCGTAACCGAGGATACACTGATTTAGAGGAGAGAGGAGTGTCTCTGGAGGAGCCGTAACCGAGGGTACACTGAAGTATTCTCCTGAGACGATTTCAGCCAACAGTGATGTTTAAAAGAGGCGTGACGCATGGCTGGACTTCTGTCAACGAAGCAGAGCTCTGCAAACTGTTCCCGTTGTGATTATAAGTTATTTGAGATGATCAAATGTGCATCAGACTTTCTGCCCTTTACAGTTTGTTTACTCACTAATCACATGTCCCCTGGATGTTAGGTGATGTTACAGTGAGAACAGCTGCTGAGGGCAGTGCAGAAAGCAGAACAGTGTATAATATATATCGCTCAATAACAAATGTAACAGGCCTACATGTCACACTTTATCTGTAGGCTTTAGGAGATATCTACAAATAAACATTAGGGTTAGGGTTAGGGTTAGGGTTAGTGAGTGTCTTTTGTAATGAATATGCCTCCAGCAAAGGGTGTTGTTGGACTAACAGTAGGTGTGTGTGTGTGTGTGTGTGTGTGTGTGTGTGTGTGTGTGTGTGTGTGTGTGTGTGTGTGTGTGTGTGTGTGTGTGTGTGTGTGTGTGTGTGTGTGTGTGTGTGTGTGTGTGTGTGTGTGTGTGGTGTGTGTGTGTGTGTGTGTGTGTGTGTGTGTGTGTGTGTGTGTGTGTGTGTGAGAGAGAGTTGATGTGCCAGGCAAACAGGCAGGCCTCAGTAGCTTGTCTGACATATAATTGGTCAAAAATGGTACATTCTCCGTTAGCCTACGAGCTCCCCGTTTGAGCAAAGGACTGTTCCTTCTCAATGTAGCATCACATTGGATATGCACTAAAGTTGTCCTGGATTGGAATTTTTCCGATCATTCCCCTAGGAGGAGTTTGCAAAAATGTGCTTAAAATGCATGAAAAACGCACATTTGTCAAAATGGCCAACTTTCTGGAGGGCAGGACTAATAAAAGCAAATTTGAAATATGTCCGCAATCATAGGAGCAATGTGTATACAGCGTTTTGTGAATATCGGAAAAACTATATGCGAGTAGTTTGGAGTAATTTGCGACATGTAAATTGTCAAAAATGGTGTATTCGCTGTTAGCTTACGACCTCCACGATTGAGATATCAAAAATGTACTCAACAATTTTTCATGACATTGGCTAGCCATTTCAGCATTTAATATATTCATTGCTATCGGGACGTTAAGAGCATTTCAGTCAGACAACTCACGTGTTCCTTTAACATGTTTATTAGAAGCAGCATATAGTTAAGTTTGGCGACTAGGCTCGGGCCTCATCACTCCATAGATATACATAGCACGATGAGTGATGATCAAATAACTAACCCCCAAGCCTACAGGTGGAAGCTGGGGTGGTGGTGTGGCAGCAAGCAGCAGCGACGTAGAGGTAGCTGCAGCAATAGCAGCAGCAAGCAATGCATGGAGAGAGATCTGGCAGGTTAAATAGAGCGGCGTATTAAGGAGACTCTGTTTGGTTGGTTGTAGAGTGGCAAGGGGGCGTTATGTATGAATGCAGCATAAGTGCTCGAGTTGACTGCCTGAACTAGCTCGCAGGCTTCGCCTCATTTCAGTCAGACAACTCACGTGTTCCTTTAACATGTTTATTAGAAGCAGCATATAGTTAAGTTTGGCGACTAGGCTCGGGCATCATCACTCCATAGATATACATAGCACGATGAGTGATGATCAAATAACTAACCCCCAAAACTGCGTGGAGATTAGATACTATCCCCCAAAACTGCGTAGCCTGACGCTGGTGATGTAAGACTGATAAGTAGAGGGCCTGGCGAGCTGCCATGTGGCCATTCCCCCTAAGCACAGCGGCTTTAAGGGGAATATACTACTTAGTGAGACTGCTATGTGAAGGCCCGGGAACAGCCGAAAAGCCATCCCCCTTAAGCACCGCGACTTTAAGGGGAATATACTACCTAGTGACTGCTATGTGAAGGCCCGGGAACACCCCGAAAGCCATCCTCCCCCAGCACAGCGGCTTTGAGGGGAATATACTACCTATATATGCTACCTAATGAAACTGCTATGTGAAGGCCCGGGAACAGCCCGAAAAGCCATCCCCCTTAAGCACCGCGGCTTTAAGGGGAATATACTACCTAGTGACTGCTATGTGAAGGCCCGGGAACAGCCGAAAAGCCATCCCCCTTAAGCACCGCGGCTTTGAGGGGAATATACTACCTATCAAGACTGCTGTGTCTAGGTCTTTGAGGCAGCGACAATGAGCTTTCCCCTCCAAGCATGCAGCTATGAGGGGAATATACTATAATGAAATAAATATAATCTAACCCAGGAACCACCTGGTATGCAATAATAGAATTCTACAGATATACATCTTTGAACGTTACTCATCATCGAGTAGTGCAAGAGCTCATGGTTGTTTGTGCTGCAAGGATCTCATTCATGTGAGGCATGATATAGCGCTGGTGGGCAGAAGATGACCGACGGCCCAGGATACTCAGGGTTGAGGTAGGCGGATATAGAGCTGCGGTTGTGGCTGTGCAGATTCTTAAACAGTGGGAATAGCGATCTGGGGGCAGGTCGCAGCTTAGGCAGAG